GCTTCATTAAAACTCCTAACCATTTTTGTCTTCCTCGCCTACCCTATCGTTCTCTCTCCCTCACACATACACACATGGGCAAAGCTTCCAGATGGTTCAGAGGCCTCCTCGGCCTCAGAACCTCCGATCCCGGCCGCGACCACCCTCACAGGCCGCCGCCGGCGTCCAGGAAGAGGTGGAGCTTCACCTGGCCCGACGGAGATAAGGACCGACAAAGGTCCCGGCCGGCCGTCGCCCCGGGCGGTGGAGACTCCGGCGACGACTCCACCAAGCACGCCATCGCGGTGGCCGCTGGCACTGCGGCCGTCGCCGAGGCCGCCGTAGCTGCCGCTCAGGCCGCAGCCGCCGTGGTCCACCTCACGAGCAGCGGCCGGAGCATCCCGACGACTAGGGCCGCCCGGGCTCAAGTTAGCGGGCGCGGCGCACACTACGGGGACCGTTGGGAGTGGGCGGCCGTTATCGTCCAGTCACATTTTCGTGCCTATTTGGTTAGTTTCCTTTTACTGTACACAAAATAAACACACACACACACATATACATGTGGGTGCGTGCTGGCATACCCCCATGCGTTTCGTGCTCATGCCGTTTTATTTTTTTGACAATTTTGCCCCTTCCATTTTTTATTTTTGGGTTTTGCTTACTTGCTGTTGTCGTTTCGTGTTTTTTCTTTTACTTCTTTTGCTTTTTTATTGAGAAAGCACTACACGTTTTATGTACATACATGTTTTTGTATGTAAGAGTGTATATATATATAGGAAGATGCTACGATCTTGTTACACAATCATTCGGTGTTTGTAATCATTAGTCAACTATTCTAACGGTTACATGATGATATAATGGTTAGAAATCTTGATAAAATGGTTCCATAACGGACCTTAGCATTTCTCCATATATATATATATATATTATGGGATGGGGTCAAAGGCTACGTTGAAGATGTGTGGACTAGCAAAAGTAGAATAATACTTGAGAAAATAATATATTATATTTTTATAGATAATATGCAGGTTATTTTCATGGTCAGTATTGAATCCCAAAGTGTGGTCCCTATTGGGAAAATTAATGGAATAATTTCACCAAATTGTACTTGTCAAATTTCATCGAAAAATAATGCAATTTTATTTATTTATTAATGGGTTTTTGTCCATTGTAGACATGGCTGAGTCGGTGCAGCATTTGCATTTATGGGTTATAAAAATTTCAACTTTATTTCATGTCTTAGTCGGCCTGGGCTTTTGTTCACATTAGGAAGTCAAAGTTTGCACTTGGAGATTAGTCCAGTGGTTTCTTGAGTTTTTCCTCATTTGGACAAAAATATGGAAATTGTGTTATTAGAATATCTACTTGTGAGTTATCTCACTCTCACATTCTTTATGTCGGGAAATTGGCCTAATTTATAGGTCTAATTGGCTAACTCTTTCCACTAGTTGGTTTTGAAATGGAACCTCATTTAAGCTTCATCTGGATTTTCTCTGTCTTGGTGCGATTCACCTGCAGGGACCGCATTGTTTTTCTCCGGTTTCTTACATTGTACCAGAGTCGGTTCTATTGAACCGTGCAATGATGTGCCTGTTTTTCCCTAGGTACCTGTTTATGAGAGTCTGTCTCTAGCAGGGCTTGGACACCCAGCTCAGTATATGGATTTGGGCTTTCTTATTAAGGATTCACAAGTGAGGGAGCGTATTAAAATATTCACTTGTGAGTTGTCCTAATATATAGAAAAAAATGGGCCTAATTTATAAGTCTAATGGGCAACTCCTCTTTTTACCAATTGGTTTTAGGATCAAACTTCATTTGGGTTTCATCTAAGTTTTCCCTGTCTTGGTGCGCTTCACGTGCATAGAACATGGTTTTCCCCTCGTTTCTTACATGTGTGTATTTTCTCTACTTCTTCCTCATATTAAACTTAATTCATTTTTGGGCATATCATTTTCCCATTATTACTTAGTAATAAGTTATACACACTGGTTTAATAAGTGGTGTATATACTTTATCAGTTTTGGAGGGAAATCACATCACATGCTACTGCCAACAAAAAAAAAAAA